TTTAATTATAACCTGTTATAATTTAAATATGTTTAATTACAACCTGTTATAATTAAAATATATTTAATTACAACCTGTTATAATTTAAATATGTTTAATTACAACCTGTTACAATTAAAATATATTTAATTACAACCTGTTATATAATTAAGATATATTTAATTACAACCTGTTATAATTAAGATATATTTAATTACAACCTGTTATAATTAAGATATATTTAATTACAACCTGTTATATAATTAAGATATATTTAATTACAACCTGTTATAATTAAGATATATTTAATTACAACCTGTTATAATTAAAATAATTACAAATATCTCCCGAATCCGATTAACTTTCGCCAATAAATTCAAATTGATTCGAACGCGAACCTTCGAATATCTCGATGCAACGCCTAACTGGATGAAAAACTGTGGTGCTCTGTGTGGTTACGTAAGCTATAATAGATGTGCTCCGAAAGGAGAAGATATCGAACTCACCATTAGGATCATTGTACTTGATTTGCGCCGGTGGTGTTCGCGAGGGCCTCTGCGCCTTCTGTTGCGCGAGCGCCGTTGAAATCAGAGCGATAAAGAGGATCTGCGAACACGTAGATTTGATCGTGAATAAATTATGCAGCCTGGGAACCTCCCCGTACGGGACGAATGCGATACACATATAGCAGCGTGCCGATGCTGTAACGGTAATAGGATCGGTTCGAAAGCGAAGCCTCTCTCTATCCGGGACCGTCTCTCGACCGTCTTTCTCCGCGCGGGCCGATAGAAATCCGCGCGGAGGACGTCGCACGCGGAAGAGAATTCGACGCGCGATCGTATCGTTCGATAAAACATTTGACTAGCTGACTTCGCTGTGTTTCCGCCTTCGTCCCGTTACTTTGTACTTGTACCAGTACAAAGGGGGCTACGTTACAGTTACAAATAACAATGCCGGGTCCCGGTTAGGCGCCGCGATCGGCTCCTAACGTTTCACTTCCTTCCACGGAACCGATGTTATCGTAAAATTAAACACCGTCATACTCGAAAACCGTAAAGTAAGAGCAAATCGTTTCCTTAAGTAACGTTTATCGGCGGGAAATCGACTTCGGTCTTAATTGACACCAAGATTGAGAACAGAAATGGAAGATCCGAGCGCGAATTAGGGAGAAATTACAGTATATTCTCTCTAATTGACGCTCAAATTGAGAACAAAAATGGCAGATCTGAGCGCGAATTAGGGAGAAATTATAGTAAATTCTCTGTAATTGACGCTCAGATTGAGAACAAAAATGACAGATCCGAGCGCGAATTAGGGAGAAATTATAGTAAATTCTCTGTAATTGACGCTCAGATTGAGAACAAAAATGACAGATCCGAGCGCGAATTAGGGAGAAATTATAGTAAATTCTCTGTAATTGACGCTCAGATTGAGAACAAAAATGACAGATCCGAGCGCGAATTAGGGAGAAATTATAGTAAATTCTCTGTAATTGACGCTCACAGATTGAGAACAAAAATGGCAGATCTGAACGCGAATTAGGGAGAAATTACTGTATATGCAGTAAATACTTTCTTAAATTTAAAATATTGTTATAATTATAATTATTATAATTATATTATTATTATATTTATTTATTAATTATAATTATTATAATTATTATTATAATTATTTAAAATACTTTCGAAACGCAGAAACTTCTTGAAAACTGAACAAAATAACTTGAATCTTTTTCAGATCACAGAGGGACTAGTTTATTAGGCGATTTCTAAAAAGCTCTCTTTTTAATTTTGCGCTATTATGCACTTGGAATGAAGAGAAAAAATTAAAAACCCTCGCTGTTAAACTTCTAAGCCTAAAGGGTGTATTTTTCTATTGTCATCCTAAGTAACAGCAAAATTGAAGAAAGGCATTTTAATCATCGTCTAGTAGATTTAGTCCCTATGTCAATTAAAAAAAAAAAGATTCAAGTGATTTAGCTGAGTTTCAAAAGATTACTACATTTTAGAAGGTGTAAGAACACTTTTCCGAGCAGTAAGAACACTCTATGTACTCGTGATCTTGGCAATTCCTCCAGAACGGGATCAACCGTCGACTCGCGAATTAGAAATCAACGGATCGCGTTCACGTTTCAATCGCCAGCGAGTCAGCTCGCGCTTATCTCGGCACGTTGTACTCCCAGCTGATAATTAAGAGGCTCCTCCGAGAGTTAAGAGGCAATTAAACGAGTAATCGATAATACCCGGAGCCCAGGATAACAGTTTCATCGCGTTTGGTGAACGAACCTTGAAGTCTGGTCAAACGATACCCAAAAACTTCGTACTTATTGTTACTTTGATAGGTGCAGCAAATTCTCCCTAATTTTCCTTCAGCTTGCAAACAAAAATGGTCGATTTGGGAATAGGAGATACGATTATAAAAACGTTGTCAACGATTATAAAAACGAGGTGACTCGAATAATCGTATCTCCTCTTCCCAAATTGTCCACTTTTGTTTGTTTAAGTTGAAGGAAAATCAGGGAGAATTTACTGTACTCGTTTATGTCAAGGTTGGTGCACGTGTGCGAACATAATCGCGATCGAAGCCTCCATCGGCATCGAACAATATATATAATCGCCAAGATTTCAACTATAAATCGTAAATTCTTGAAAATTATGAAATCATCGTTGACAGAGAACGCGTGAACCGTTGTTAACAATATAGAACATCGATGCATTAACTATTACGATGACTTAAAAATCGCGCACGTTGCGTTAATTATACGTTCGATTTTCTCTATATATTTCGTTCAGCACGTGACACTTTTGCAAAAATATATATATATGTATATAATTAATAATATATTAATAATAATATATATATTAATATATATATATAATTAATAATATATTAATAACAATATATATATTAATATATATATATATATATATATATATAATTAATAATATATTAATAATAATATATATATATTAATATATATATAATTAATAATATATTAATAATAATATATATATTAATATATATATAATTAATAATATATTAATAATAATATATATATATAATTTAACAAAGCATCTTCGTCGCGAAGAATTGGCAACGTTCTCAGTTACGACGCGCAATCGAAAACGGAGCCGAACGAAGACAAAGAATCACTTCTCTCTCGGATGTTCCGCAAACTCGGCACTTGAACCAGGGAGCGATCAATTTCACGGATGCACTCGTCCGCTTCGAATTTGGGCCCTGAACGATATACGTCACTCACTGAATAAGCCGCGGGGAATCCGCGGAGCTCGCGGAGCAACGACAAGGAGTGCGACAAATTGGGAGATAAACGCGGGGACCGACCGACCGACCGGTGGCTCGATGATCGAAGATCGAATGCACTCACGCGGGTCCGCATGACTGCCGGAGAGGAGACGATGAACGTGGATGCTCGATTCGCGGGTCCGTGCGTGGAAATCGGCCGACCGAGCCGCGGTGGCTCTTCTATATAGTCGGAGTTGCCCCCGTGTAATTGGCCAGCCAAGCAGACGGCCGGTGGCTACCTACTTTTAAAGTAATTCTGCTGCCTCCGGTAACGACCCGGCCGCCGCGCCGCGGACCCCGCGCCTCGGGCCCCACGGGATATTATCGCGGCCGATTGCAAGAAAACATCGCTGGCGCAACGCGGCCTGTGCGAACGCCGCCAACACCGCGAGCCGCGGTGCAAAACCGGCGCAAATCCCATCTAGGAAGAAGCTGGGGACCTCTCCGAGGTGTCCGAGGTTGCGGGTTTACAAACCTTCCGCGAAAGAGGAACGCCGGCCGTCTTTCCGGCCCATTGTTTATCGGCGAACGTTCGCACGATTAGGCGGCCCGCCGATCGTCGCTTTAATGCTTCCTATGTACGGAGGCGGCCGGAAACGAGAACCGGAACACGCTGTTTGGACGTTTGTCCCGCGTTTCACGGTTCGAAATGTTCCAGAGCAATTTTCAACCCCTGCCGCGCCATTTTGTTTCGCGAGGAGAAGCCGCGATTTAAGCGGTATTCGATTGATCTTTGATTGTTCGCTGCTCGTGTGCCGGTGAATTGATCTCGGTGAAATTTAGGGGGACATGTAAAACATGTTTTTTTTCCATTCGAAACAATTGCAATTTTTGCGAAATTTTGTGGACATTGCGCGATAAACTTGTCTCTCGAGCATCAAAAATATGCGAGTCGTTTCGGCGACTTTTAAAAAAGTTATTCTGTTCTAACAGGGGTTGTCTTTTATATTATATTATAATATAATATATTATATTTATTTATTATTATATTATATATTGTATTATATTATAATATTCGAATATTAACCCGAGTCACTATATATCACACAGTAAATAATACATAAACACGATACATGAAATTATATATATATTATTATTAAATTATATATATTATATTGTTAAAATTAATATTTATTATTATTATTATATTTATTATTATTGTTAAAATTACATATATTATATTGTTATATATATATAACGATAAATGAAATTAAATCGCTTTTTCAACAGTTTTCGATCTTTTTCTAGAATCATATAAAAAATATTATTACAGCTTATTCGAAGTTCGAATTACAAAGGAAATTGGCATTTTCTGTATCATCCTAAAAATTTGGTCGTTAGAAAGAGTAACAATTGAATAAAGTTAATTAGAGTAACGGAGTAATTAAATATCACGGTTTACACGGAGGAATCTGTCGATAGCTAATATATTATAACGACAGAAATAATTTAATATAAAGACAGAAATAATTAATAAATATTTTAATAACGACAGAATCGAATGTTCGAATTCTAGTCGGTCCAAGGCGGAAAAGTGTACGATGAATGAAACAGAAGTAAACCGTTGCATACCGCGCTTTCATTAGCACGAAATTAAGCCAACCTGTTACTCAATCGGTCCTTTATAAGTCAAAGAAATCTGGAATTCAATGAAACCTGTTTCGAGCATCAAATAGCTCAGCCGTGCTCTATTATAACACAACGCGAGTGAAACTGCGTGCACAGTGAATTCTCCCTAATTTTCCTTCAGCTTGCGAACAAAAATAGAAAATTTGGAAATAGAAGATGCGATTATTCGAACCTTCTTCCCCTCCCTCTTCTCAAATCGCTCATTTTTATTTACAAGCTGAAGGAAATTAGGGAAAATTTACTTCTCGTCGCGTTCTTCTTCAGCCTAGAAATCGGAACGCGACAGCCTCGATCCATTTATTCGAATTCAGAATGAAAAATAGGTTAGTGCGGTTTTAACATCGTTATTTTTATAACAATGTAAACATCGTCGTGCAGGATCGGCCTCGAAATATTCTAATCATCCTGAAATTTGTGCGAATTTGTCTTTGGTTTCGCTAAAATCACAATTTGAATGGCCAATCGTCGCCACTTTCTACGCGCGACGAGTATATTCGTCATGACACTTATCCGTACTGGCATTTATCCACGACGAGTATACTCGTCAAACGCAGCTAACTGGTTAATTTTCAGGCTGTCGAACTTCCTTTCTAAACGCGCGGAACATTCATCTGTACGTCGGAACGGATTTAAGAAACGTGGAAGCTAATCTCGCCGGTTTCTGCGCGGCGTCCCTGAACTTTCGAATCCGTAAAAACTCGCTACCGGACGAACAATAAATAACTAGGCGTATCTATGGAGGCATCCTCGGCGTTCAAGTGCGATCGTGTAATTCGATGGTGATTTATGCGAGCCGTTTCGTGGCGAACGTGGCGAAATCCGTCGATCCGACGTGAAATTGAAGTACGTCTAACAAATTTTCATTGCGCTCGTTAATTTGCAACGTTTCAATGGAATCGCCAAAAAATAATAGTGTAACGAAACAACATCGAGACGTCGAGACAATGATCGAAATTCAAATTTAGTAGCCGTAACAATATACCAATTATAATATAAATAAATATAAATAAATTTATATATAAATGTATTACAATAAATTATATATCATATATATAATATTTATATATATTAAATACATATATTGTTTATGTTAAGTGTTTATATTATATTTATATATAATTTATTATATATAAATATATATATATTATTATTATTATTATTATAATATATAGTAATATATTATAATATATTATATATTATAATAATAATAATAATTATATATATATATATTTATATATAATAAATTATATATAAATATATTATAATAATATATAAATATAATATAAACAATTCACCGTTTATACATTACCGAATATTAATATTGCCGCACTTCGACGAGTCCGACTTATCATAAATATTTCTAATAATAACTTATCGAGTATGTTATTCTGTCCTTTAAAATTGGAATAAAATTCTAATCTCTTTCTCATCAATGTTTAAGCATTCGTGTAAATTTGTGCACGAAAAAAAGCATCGATTTTCTTTCCCTTCTAAAAAATCATTGCAATCGAAAAATTTCCAATCGCAGCAACTGCGAAGAAGATGGTACGTCAAGGGGTTAAATATTGTCGAGATCTCAGTCTTTGATACTTGAAATATTACATTTTCGAGGGAAAGTGCAGCCAACGAACGTTTCTCTCCACTAATTCTCAAAAATGTAATCGCATCGTTGCGAAAGAAACGAAAGAATTGTTCGCGGAATCTATCATTCGAAGCGAAAACCTCTTAACCCGATCGGAGCGAAACAATGTCAGCCGTTGCGGTCGGGGTTACGGTGTATTACAAAAGGGTGCAGCAATATCGTACGAAACGTCTAAACGAAGTATGAAATCCTCATAAACCAGAGTTTTAAGGAGGGCGGCCATAGTCTTTTTTTATAGCCTGAGAAATCGCGGCAATTTACGAAATTACCGAATTCTCGTTACCATCATTACGACACGTGCTACGCCGGAAAAATATTCAGAAGCAGGAAGTTTTTACGGTGCCGGCATTAACTATAGAAAAGTGGTGCATAATTTTTAGCTTTCCGCGGCAGCGTCCGTTTAAGCTGCTAATTAATTCGCGCGCATTTTTATCGCGGGGCTGCTTTATGTCTTTAAAATGCCGACAAATCGTTGCGTTGTTACGAAGAATGCTGGCCTAATCACGAAATGGTAATGCAAGCAGTGAGTCAACGTTTCAGAGGCTATATTTCGAATTTTGCAACGCTTAGATCCAGTATAAAATATAAATATTATATTAATATTATTATAATATCTATATTATATTGATATTATTATAATATCGATATTATGCTAATATTATTATAATATTTATATTATACTAATATTATTATAATATTTATATCATACTAATATTATTATAATATTTATATCATACTAACATTATTATAATATTTATATCATACTAATATTATTATAATATTTATATCATACTAATATTATTATAATATAATAAATATATAATATATATTATTATATTAATATTATATTAATATTTATACTCTAAAATTGTCAGTAACATCGCTAATATTGATATTTCGTTTAATACAGGATACAAGAATTTTAAAATGGCGCTTTCATAGTTGCCCAATCGCATTTGTAACAAATCGTATCGCTTACAATCGCCGAGTCAACGATATTTATTATCTCGAAGGCGAACTAGATCTATATCCTGTGCAATTTGTGTTTATTAAACGATATCGCACGTAGTAACGCCGCTAGAAAGTGCGAAATAATAAATCGAAGAAACGTGAGCCAGATCTCTATATGCTCTGCCAAAGAGTGCACCGTCGAGCACTCCGTCAAAGAAAAAAATCGTTCGCTTCAACGAGACGCATTTTTACGAACGCAGAAAGCCAATTCAATGCGGTTTTCCGCAACGAAAACGGAAAGAACAAATAGTTCCGCTGCGCGAAATTAATTGGCAATGCGAGCCGCGTGTACATAGGTTCGGCAAAAAAAAACACGAAAACGCCGGCAAGAAAAGTTGCCCGATGATATTCGAAAGGCGCGATGAGAAAAAAGGATACGTTCCGCGGAAACGGACGGAGAAAGTGCATCGCGAGGAAGAACTCCGTTTCCGCAGATTCGTTTAAAATTGGAACGTCGATTCTAATCGGATCGACGATGTTGAACACGAGCCGTTTCACTTGTTCCAAACCGACGTGTTCTTGTTTTTTTTGTATTTTTTGTAGAAATAACGAAAGAACGATGCGACAACGTGAATCGCGGATAATGTGCTCCTATTCGATCACGTATTCGATTGCACATAAGCACTAGAAAATATAAACATAAAATATCTGTAAGATCGCTTTCGATTTTTGTTGAAAGCAGTTGTTGTCTCGTTCGGTTACGCTCGAACGTGTCATCGTGATCGTCATCTCATTTCATGATCTCTTTCTATGTCCGTCGTCACCTTTTTACGATAACATTATTCGCAATATTATTTTAAATAATATGTTATTTGATTTTAGAATTATTGGAATTAATTTCTCGAGAAATAATTATCTAGTTAGAATTATTATAATTATTATTATAATAATTCTAATTCTTGTTATAATAATA